TCTGATCTCTCACTCAGTGGCGCTGGTAGCCACAGCTGGGCTGCTGATCGGACGCAGCATTCGCGAACACAGTTCGCGAGATGTGGACGCCGCAGACGGCGACGTAAGTCCACCATGCTTTAGACGAGTCGTTCGGCGTCGAAGCTGCTGTGGCCCTCGACCTGTGCGCTCGCGCGATTGGCAGGGCAGCGGAAGTCGGAGAACTGTTCGAGGACCTCTGGGACGTTGGAGACCAGCGCGGCGGTCTTATTCAAGATGCCTCCGCGGCGATCCCGAAGCCCGAGCTGACGCTGGTCAACGATGACCCGGTCCACGCTCGGTGCTGCCGGCACCTCTGGCCAGGGCGGCTCGGCGCACAGCCGTGATGGTTCGGGCTGCTCCCTGACGAAGTAGCCGCCCAATTCGATCTGCAACTGCGCTACGTAGCCGAAGACTCGGCCATGTGGGGCCGCGCCCCCGTAGGAGCGCAGTCGTCGTTGTGATAATGTTTTTCGCTCACCTTCCCTCGCGTTTCCTCTTCCTCTGCCTCGTTCTCGGGGGGGGGGATTGCACAGCCCCCCCCCGCCCCTTCCCACCTTCCAACGGCGGGGGGGGGGCCCAGAACCCTCCCCCCCCCCCCTCCCCTTAAGGGGGGGGGTCCGAACCCCCTCCCCTTGAAGGGGGGAATAGGGTTCGGGACCCCTCCCCTCCTTGGCGCTGGAAAGGGGGGACCTCCCCCCCCCTCCCCCCCTTTGCGCCGGAGCCGGGGAGGGGGGGCCTCTCTCGCTTCTCCTTTCTGCGCCGGAGATGGTGTGTAGGGAGTGCGGACTTGGGAGTAGGGAGCGGTGAGTAGTGAGTAGTGAGTTCATGCGTAGTGAGTAGTGAGTATTGGGTAGTGAGTAGTGGGTAGTGAGTGTCGAGTACGGAGTAGGGAGTAGGGAGTGGGGAGTAGTGAGTGAACAGTGAGTAGTGTGTACTGATAAGTCAGGAGTGAGTGGCGAGTAGTGAGTAGTGAGTTGTGAGTAGCGAGTAGCGAGTAGTGAGTACTGAGTAGGGAGTAGGGAGTAATGAGTAGTGGGCAGTGAGTAGTGGGTATTGAGTAGTGGGTGGCGAGTAGTGACTAGTGAGTAGTGAGTAGTGAGTAGTGCGTAGTGCGTAGTGCGTAGTGAGTAGTGAGTAGTGAGTAGTGAGTAGTGAGTAGAGAGTAGCGGGTAGTGAGTACAGAGTACTGAGTACTGAGTACTGAGTAGTACGTAGTGCGTAGTGAGTAGTAAGTAGTGAGTAGTGATGAATAGATAGTAATGGGTAGTGGCAGTGGGTAGTGAATAGTGAGTAGCGAGTAGGGAGTAGCGAGGTTTGACTAGTGAGGAGCGAGTAGGGCGTAGTGAGTAGTGAGTGGTGAGTAGTGAGTAGTGAGTAGTGGGTAGTGATAAGTGAGTATCGAGTAGGGAGTAGCGCGTAGTGAGTAGTCAGTAGGGAGTAGGGAGCAGGGAGAAGCGAGCAGTGAATAGTAAGAAGTGGGTAGCGAATAGTGGGGAGTGAGTAGAGGGTAGTGAGTAATGAGTAGTGGGTAGTGAGTAGTGACTAGTGACTAGTGACTAGTGAGTTGTGACTAGTGAATAAAGACTATGTAGTGACTAGTGGGTAGGGAGTAGTGAGTAGCGGGGAGTGAGTAGTGAGTATTGAGTAGCGAATATGGGAGTAGCGAGTGGTGAGTACTAAGTCTTGTGCAGTCAGTATTGTGTAGGGAGTTGGGAGTAGTGAGTAGCGAGTAGTGGGTAGTGAGTAGTGATTGGTGGGCAATGAGTAGTGAGGAGTGAGTAGTGAGTAGTGGGTAGTGATAAGCGAGTATCGAATAGGGAGTAGTGAGTAGTGCTTAGTAAGTAGTGAGTATTGCGTAGTGGGTAGTGAGGAGTGAGTAGTGAGTAGGGACGAGGGAGGAGGGAGTAGTGAGTAGGGACTAGTGAATAGCGAGTAGTGGGTGGTGGGTACTGAGTAGTGGACAGTGAGTAAGTAGTGAGTCCTGAATAGTGAATAGGAGGTAGTGAGAAGTGAGTAGCGAATAGCGAGTAGTCAGTAGTTGGTAGTGAGTAATGAGTAGTGAGTGCTCTTTGGGGCTGGGGTTAGTGGTTGGGGTTAGGATTCGTGGTTTGGGTTAGGGTGAGGACTAGGGGTAGGGGTGGCGGGGGTCGGGTTCCGGAGTCAGGGGGCGGCGTGGCGAAACGGGGGGAGGAGGGGTGGGGGGTTGCGACAAAAGGGGGGGAGGGGGAGGGGTTCGGACCCCCCCCCCTTCCCTTTTGAAAGGGGGGGGTGGGGGGGGTTCCCCGACGACGGATCGAGGAAAGGGGGGGGGGTCCCCGACGACGGATCGGGGAATGGAGGGAGGGGGGGGGGTCCCCGACGACGGATCGAGGAAAGGGGGGGGGTGCCCAACCCCCCCACCCTTGGGGTTATCCAGCGGCGCACCCTCTCATTCTCGCCCTACCCTGCGAATTCGCCACCATCCACAGCTCATCTTGTGGAGACTCATCCTACGAGATTTTCTTGTCAATCTCACGCAGGTTTTCGAAAGTTTTTTGGGGGCGTTCTGGAAGCCTCCCTGGTTCCTTCTGGGCACCACTGGGGGCTTCCCTGGGCCACCCTGCTTCCAGCCGCGGTCTCCCTGAACGACCGGGTCACGATTCGGAATGATTCCGGAGGCGTTTGGGGGCCATGTTGGACCGTCATGGGGCTCTCTTCGGGCCATGTTGAGGCCCTGTTGGGCCGTCTTGGGGCTCCTCTTGGACTGCCTGGAAGCCCTCTTGGTTAAATTTTGGGCGATGCTCTGGCCTCCTGGGCACTCTCGGACGCCCAGAAAACCGAAGAACTGAGAATTTCCCAGATCATGCAAGAAAACATCAGAAGTCAATGTTTTTTGCATTTCGAATGCCTCTTGCGGGTCTTCATTGGGTTGTCTTCGGGCGTCTTGTGGGTGTCTGGGGCCTCTGTGGGCTCTCGCGGGGCCGTCCGGCCGCCTTCCTGGCGGCCGATGTGGGCCCGGTGCCCATGCCTAGCAGGAGCTTCAGGAGCCCCAGAAATCATTGTGGACCGTAAGGATCTGGAGGGGTTCCGTTTTGGGGGGTGGAGGGGTGGGAGGGGTGGGACAACCGCCCGCCCCCCCCCCCTCCCCCCAGCTGGACCCCCGAATTCCTACCGAATTTTTGGTCCCGGGGGCCCGCCCCTGCAAAAGGTCCCCTAGAGTTTCTTGGCCCCCTCGACGTCCCTGCTGGGCCAGCGACGGCTCCACGAGGCCCCCAAGTCGGTCCAAGGTGGGCTCCAGCGGCCCCGGACGCCCGCCAGACGCTCAAAGATGGCCAAATATCACCCCCAATAGGCTTTCGAAACGCAGAAAAAGGTTGATGTTCCAATGATTGTTGTATGATTTGGGGCTATTCGGTTATTCGGTCTTCTGGGCGTCCGAGCACGCCCGGGAGGCACCGAAAACCGCTCCAAGACGTTCGCAAATAATGTTCCTGACAGTTCAAGAGAGCCCCAAGCCAAGACGATCCAAGGGGGTTCAGAAACTGCCCACGGAGGGCCCCATGCGGGGCCGAAACTGCCCCAAGACATTGTCCAGAAGCATTCAAGCTGTGACCCAAGACCACGATTGGCGGCATGGTGACCCGAGGACCCCCTCAGAGGCTGCCCAAAGGCGCCAGGGACGTCTCCAGAGGCGCCCAAGGAACCCTTAAAAGCTTCCGCGAGGGGTCCTCTAGAAGCTCGCTTCGGAGGAGCCTCCGCAAATATGAATGAGGAGTACGGGGGAGAGTTCGCGGAGCAATGAAGGCGGGAACGAGGAAGAGGAATAGGAAAAGGACACATGAGGGAAGGATAATAAACAACCATATGATAACGGTGACGGCGAAAACTGCAACCAACAGCGATCGTTGTTTTGGTTGATCTACCTTTTCTCGTTCTGCGTGCATATCGAACGTGAGGGACCAAGGCGCATGCCGCGAACCGCCCACCCGATCTTGTGCATGTGTGTGTTTGCGCACACATATCTAGCAACTATGCCACTGCTCGAACTCACACGTAAATTATTGGCCACACGAATCGTGTGATTATGATACATCAGGATACTTGCGCTCTTCGAGCGACGGGGCAACCCTTGAACATCTGTGGGCCAAACGCTCAAGACAGCCACCTTAACACCGCTGCGAAAAAAAGAGGGCGGAAATGCTCTGATTGCCCAGGCAAAGTAAGATTTCTTTGGCCCTTGCGCAGTTCTGTCTGGCCCGTGCGCGCGACGCACATCGAAACCGAATTATTGGTTGGGCACGGGGGTTCCGTGTGACTTCTGCCTCGCCCCTCAAAGTGTTGTTCGATTCCAGCGAAGGGGCGACGGAACAGGAAGAGAACGAGGCCGAGGAGGACGATAATTCCGACGCTGGGGAGCGACACCCAAAGCATAGGCAAAAAGTAACGACGACGAGCACGAAAAGGTAAACACATTAAAAACATGGAGGGCGGAGCAGGAGGAGGAGGAGGAGGAGGAGCAGGAGGAGGAGGAGCAGGAGGAGGAGGAGGAGGAGGAGGAGGAGGAGGAGGAGGAGGAAGGACAAGGAGGAGGCTGCCAGGACCCTGCCGTCCTGCGCGGTTTCGCGGGGCATGGGGCCGTAAGCCCAGGCTCTCCCGAAGGCGCTCCACCGCGCCCCCAGGTGAGTGACGCAAAAAACGGGGTCGTCTGCGCTGGCATTCGTGCGTAAGCTGCCCGCGTAAGGTCGCGCCGAAGTGCCCTCACAATACAACAATTGACCGTCACAAACCTGTGATCTGTGTGATGTGATCTGGCTTTTTTGCCAGTGGTACGTGTGAGCTTTCGCTGGCCTCGGCGGCTCTTCAGACTGGCCTCGGCAAAACCAGCTTTGGTACGGCCCTCCCTCTTGCCAGCACGCGCGCGCGGAAGGAAGGCCCGCATAAGCCGCGGCGCAAGGTCGCTACGTCATCTCGTGTAAGACCCGTTTTTGATCGTCGCTCAGGTGGCGTACAGCAAGTTCAAGACGTGGTGTTCGGAGGAGTCCGCGTCGCTGGGGAAGCAGGTGGCGCAGAACGGGCTGGACTGCGGCGGCGGCTGCGCCTCCCCGAAGGGAGGGGAGATGGGAGGGGGGCCGAGAAAGGTGAGGAGGGGGCTTGCCCAGGGAGGGGCGGAACTTCGAGGATCGAGATTCGAGGCCTTCGGGCGTTTTCGTCGATTCTCGGCGGCTTTCCAGCCTACAGGGTGCGGTGCCTTCCAGCGTTCGCGGGGTACCCGGATCGTCCCGAACGGCCGTTGGAGGCTCGAGTTGTGACCCGACAACCACTCCGGGACAGGCTCAGGTGGGGAAAGTTGCAACGGGAGCAGGGCATTTGTTTTCCCTTCACTTCGTGGGGGCGAGCTAAAGAGAGGCCGCGTTGTCAACCAGCAGTTGCCTTTCGCAGACTCTGTCCGAGGCTTCACCATGCGGACGCCGACTCGGTCAAGCCAAGCCTTGCAGGGAGGAAAATGGTTCAGGGATGGGGATGAGAAAGGATGGAGGAGAGAGGAGAGGAGGAGGGAGGAGAGGGAGGAGGAAGGGAGAAGGCGGAGGAGGAAGAGGAGGAGGAGGAGGAGGAGGAGGAGGAGGAGGAGGAGGAGAAAGAAGGAGAGGGGGTTGAGGTTGACGGAGGGGAGAAGGGGGAGGGAAGGGGACGGGGATGGCGGGAAGGAGAGGGGAGGGCCCCTACTTCCCTGCTCCCCTCTCCCATCATCCCTGCTGCTCCCCTCTCCCTCCGCCCTGCCCCCTCCGCGTCCCCCCTCCCTCCTCCTCCATCACATCCCTCTCTTTTCCGCCTCCCTCCCGAACTCCTTTTCTCCCTCTCGCTGCTCCCCCCATCTCTCTCTCACTTTCTCTTATTTTCCTTCTCTCTCTCTCTTTTTTCTCTCTCTCTCTCTCTCTCTCTCTCTCTTCTCTCTCTCTCTCTGTCTTGTTCTCTCTCTCTCTCTCTCTTTCTTTCTCTCTCTCTCTCTCTCTCTCTCTCTCTCTCTCTCTCTCTCTTTCTACGAGACAAAGACTCGGCAAGGTACAACTCGGCCAGGCCGAGCTCAGCTGGCCGAGCTCAGCCTGGCCGACCCTGCCCTGGCCGAGCGGAGGTGCTGCCCTCTCGCTCTCTCTCTCTCTCTATATATATATCTCTCTCGGAGGAGGAGGGGGAGGAGGAGGAGGCGGAGGAGGAGGAGGGGGAGGAGGAGGA